TTCATGTTTGTATTATGATATTCATGATTGAAAAAATAATTAATAATTATTATATTTGAATAATAATATTCTTTAGAATTTGTATATGAAATTAATAAAATTAATATGAAAAAAATAATTATTTTCATGTTATTATTATTAATTTTTATTTTTTATAAAATCCGATATTGGATACATAAGTAATTTTATCTGAATTTCGAATACAGATTTCACAAAATCTAGATTTTTCATTATTTTTGTTGATAACATCAAAAACTTGTTTCATTATTCTATTACAATTTTTACATCTAAACATTGTTGGAAATCCATCTTTATCTAAATATTTTCTATTATAATATATAGATTTTTTATCTAGAATAGTTTTTTTAGTAGTGTGCTCTTTGTTTGTGATAGTTATAGAATAATCCTTTTGTACTTCACCATCAATGATTTTTCTGAGAACATCTATTTTTATTTCGTTAAAGAATTTGAACCATTCAATGTGATTTTTATAATTATTTATTTCTTTAGGTTTGTATTTTATTTTGTTGATATTTATTTTTTCTATTATTATACTTTTTACTATTCCTTTTATTTTATTAATCATATTATTTTTTTTATCGTTAGGTATAGTATCAGTTTTATTAGGTGGTAGATCCCATACTTTTCTATTAATAAATTTTTAGATTCTATTGAAACTTCTGGATTATTAATAAGATCAACAGCTCTTAATTTTGTTTTAATAATCAAGATTTGTATATTTTTTATGTTTTCTAAATCTAATTCAGGTGGTGGTAATCTACCATCCATATGTAAAGTCCAAAGATTATCATCTTTTACATTTGGATTAGGTTTGTTTTCATATGTTGGACAAAATTCTCTTTTGCTAACAGTTACTTTAGGGTTTGCTATCATGCCAATCATTACAGCTTCCATAGGACGATTTTTCTTGTAAGGAAGTGCTATGGATGCCCATAATAAATTTTGATATTCATGATCTGTAGTTGATGCTGTGAATGGATAACCTTGTGTATTAAGTTCTTTCATTGGTTTTTCACTTTTAGGAAGCATTATTCCACTTATTATATGATATACTATATCTTTAGGAGGTGTTAATTCTTTTAATTTTTGTGTTGTTAAGAAAGCTTTTCCAGGTGTTAGACGACCAACATGACCAATTTGTTGAATTATGCTAGCAACTGATAAGAATTGAATTTTAGGTTCATCATAAATCCATCTACCTGCACCAGATCCTTTTCCTAATTTTTGTAATTGTGTTTGACCAGTTAATATTACATTATCGATAGCGGGACTGAAACCCATTTCATGGTTTACATTTGCTATGAAAAGAGAACCAGATGGCATTCCTTCAGTGATACCAGTTACTGCGGAAGAATTTGAGCTATCGAATATTACAAATGGTATATCACTTTTTTCCAACATTTCAAATTGTTTAGGTGTCAATCCTGATTTTAGTAATGGTTCAGCATTTTTATCTTCTTCACCAGTTATTTTTCTAGGATATACATTTGCAGTTGTTCTGAAGAATATTTGTGTTTTTTCATTTTCCCAATCAGTTTGATTATCAAATTTAGTTAATGAATAAACATCTCTAGGTTTAGAAGTTGATATAGAAAAGTTTTTTTTGGGAAATGTTGCGCTCATCAGTAAAACATTATAACCCATTCTAATGATTAATGGTTGCACAACTTGATAACTTGTATTTGGAAAATGAGCTTCGTCAAAGATGATTATGGTATTTTCTTTATCGATCAATTTTTCTTTGATATCGATTAATACTTTATCAAAGTTATCATAAATTTTTTTAGTGTCTTTTAATTCTTTAATTTTTACCTTACCACATGCTATGTATCTAACTAGATGATGTAATTGTAATATAGATAATGTCGATTTTCTATCTTCACTACTTGATTCTTTTTTGTCTTCTTTGTTTCTATTTATCTATGAAGTGAGTTCACTATTTTTAACTGTGTAAGGTAATTCTCCTTCTTTTCTGTGAATAACGCATTTATAAGGAATACCACTAGCATATTGTAACCAAGTATTGTGATGATTTTCAGCATCCACGGCTAATTCTTCATTGGGTGTGATTAAGATAATATGTTTTCCAGGAAATATACATGTTAACAAACATCTTACTAATTTAGTTGTTTTACTACCACCAGTTAAGATAGGCAAGATTCCAGGACCATCTACATCAGGTATTTTACCTTTATTACTATCTTTTACTTTAGCGAAATAGTTGGAATTATAACTACTATCATCGTTTTTTAATTTTTCTGGATCAAAATCTATAAGGTTGAAAACATAAGGTAGTAGATATGCTCCAGCTAATGATTTATCAAGTTTTTTTTCTTCTTCTATAACTTCATTACCAGTTATTCCATTTTTCAAGACTTCTTCATTTATATTTCCAGTGAATTTATTATTTTTTATTTCAGCTACTCTTATTTTATGTTTTGGTTTATCTTTTAATGTGTATCCCATTAATTTATCTGTTCCAGGTTCAATTTCTTCTCCTTTTAACCATTTATCGAGATCTTTTTCTTTAAGATTTTCATCACCTTTTCTTTTTAAAAAATTTCCTAAAAATTTATTGAGAAATTCAGGTGTAACTTTATTTTTCCGTTTATCAAAAATCACTTCTTGAGTTTTAGTGATTGATTTTAATATTTTTTGATATTCATTTGGATCTAAACCATCATTATCAAATTCGTTATTTGGTTCATTGATTCTGTATCTAAAAGTATTTCTTCTATCTTATATTGCTTTTAAAAGATCATTTTTTTTTGCTACTATGGTTTTTGCAACCACTACCTTCCCTCTCGATTTTTGGTCTTTTTTTCATATAATTGTAGGATCTGGCATATTCCTATACAAAGATTGATATTATTGATCATTTCCAAATTAGGATAGTCTGTTAATACACAACATTGCACGAGAAAACAACAACACATAGAAATGCTAAACACGTAGAACAACTTGTTTGGATCTAACTACGGAATCAGTACAAACAATGAGATACACACTTTCACTATTGTGTAGTGTAATATTTTTATCAATTTAGAAGAGATTCTTTTTTATAGATTAGGTTTCTTTTTTTATTTGTTTCCTTTTTCTTTTTTCTCTTTTATATTCAGATTAGTTTTTTTATTTGTGGCAGATTTTTCTAATTTGAATTTATGTTTTAGATTATAGCCACTTTAGATCTAAACAATTTTTATTTTCTACGCTTGGTTAGGCTACATTCTATTTTTTTTCTTAGAGTAATATCTAGGATTAAGAATAGGATGGCTCTAACTAAGTGATCTTGATATAGGCATATAGCAGCCTTCTGCTGATCAATTAATCGTGACTTTGCTTAGGCAAACCTTTTTTTTGGGAGGAAAATTTTGCTATTGCAGTAGATCGTACTTAAGCACCTTATGGCAGCTGAGTAAGTCCTGAATTGCAAGTAGAGGCAAATGCATAGCTAAATTAGTTTAGTTTATAATTTTATATAATATTATTTATATGTTTTTTCTTAATAAATGATAGGCAAGATCACTTAAGCATAAAAAAAAAAAAATAAATTATCTTATAAAAAACAAAAAAATAACAAAATTCTTAACTCTTTCTGACGATCACCTAGACCATATGTGGAGCAAAACTTTTATTTTTAAAAAACAATAACGTAGCTAATATTTTTAAGAAATACATAGTAACCTCAATAGAGGAAACAATGTAAGGTATGTCCGAACTAGTTTGGTGCTAGTTTTTGTATAGATATAAGCAGTTTAAAGCATAAGACTTGGCTTTGGCAAGAAGTAACTATCGGGTTTTTCTGAAGAAATATGTTATTTATTTTTAAATAATAAAAGAAGAAAAGTTGAAGAAGAAGAAGAAGAAGCACCCATTACAGTACTTGAACTAGGTCAAGTACTTTACTCTCTTTTACCACTATAGTTTTTGTAACTACTACCTTTCCTCTCGATTTTTGGTCTTTTTTTCGTATAATTGTGGGGATTTGGTATACCTCCATACAAAGATCGACATTGTTGACCATTTCTAAATTAGAATAGTCTGTTAATACACAACATTGTACAGGAAAACAACAACATATAGAAATGCTAAACACATAGGATAACCTGTTAGGATCTAATCACGGAATTAGTATAAACAATGAGATACACACTTTCACCATTGTGTAGTATAATATTTTTATCAATTTAGAAGAGATTCTTTTTCATAGATTAGGTTTCTTTTCTTATTTGTTTCTTTTTCTTTTTTCTCTTTTACATTCAGATTAGTTTTTTTATCTATGGCAGATTTTTCTAATTTGAATTTGTGCTTTAGATTATGGCTACTTTAGATCTGAACAATTTTTATTTTCTACGCTTGGTTAGGCTACACTCTATTTTTTTTCTTAAGGTAATATCTAGAATTAAGAATAGGGTAGCTCTAACTAAGTGATCTTGATATAGGCATATAGCAGCCTTCTGCTGATCAACTAATTGTGACTTTGCTTAGGCAAATCTTTTTTTTGAGAGAAAAATTTTGCTATTGCGATAAATCGTACTTGGGTACCGTATGGCATCTGAATAAGTCCTGAATTGCAAGTAAAGGCAAATGCATAGCTAAATTAGTTTAGTTTATAATTTTGTATAACATTTTTTATATATTTTCTCTTAATAAATTATGTGCAAGATCACTTAAGTGTAAAAAAAAAAATAAATTATCTTATAAGTTAGTAATATCTTTAACTAGTATTATTAGAATCAGAATAGTCTCATGATTATAATGAACTATAATTTGTAGGAATTAGATTAATAGTTATTGAGTTATTAGTATTTAGAAATACCTATTGATATTTAACTATGCTTTAAGATGTTTAACTATGTTTGATGATGTTTGAAAACATTTGATGACGTTTGATGACATTTGAAGAAATTTGAAGATGTTTAACTACATTTGAAGATATTTAGGAAAAAGATATAAAAACTCTGCTTTTTCTCTTTCTGTAAAGTTAGGTTTGTCTTCTACAATCTCCTTAATATTAGAATTCTTTTAGTATAGATACTAATAAATAGTTTTGTATTATTGATATTGTATCGTAAATAAAGAATACTCTTTGCTTTAATATAATCTTTCTAACAAATTGTCTTTGCAAAGTAATATCCTATTTTGATACTGTTGAGAGTTCCTCTTCTGTGTTTTATATTACTTGTGATATACTAAGAAGACTATACTACTTGTAACAACATAAAGAGTATATAACAAGCTATATGTACAACTTTAGTTATTATCTATTTTAAATAGTTTACTACACAGACAATTAGACTACCTGATTAGTTCTATACTATACTACTATACCTATAATCTGCTTGTAAGTTACTTATTTAAATACTCTGTTCATTAATTCATACAGATCTAACCTAATGTTACTGTAATATCTAATCATTTAAGTCAGCTAGCTCTTTATAGATCTATTTATTCAGAATAGCTTAGATCCTTTGGAATATATTATACCTAACATATTGTAGGTATTACAGAGCTAGTTAACCTTAAGCATATCTATTAAAATTGTCTGTACCTATTTTACAAATTCACCTAGCTTAGACCTTTGTAGATATTTGTATAACCTCAGTTCCTACTATAGCTCTCTACTAGTTTTCTATATTCTATCTTTTTAAATATTTTATGAAGCAGATTCTCCTAATCTAGTTAGCTGCCAAGCCAGATTGGTATTACTAATTCTCCTTATAAAATAGATTTATGCATACTTAACTTGATTTGTATCTTTTGATAATAGTTTCCTTTTTAGATTAAGTATTAGCTGATATAACTATAAAAAGCTATACTATTTCATCAACTTGGAATTTCTACTATGCAGATCCTCTGCTCATAGATTCTATTAAGATTTATTTATATAACAATATGTCTCTCCAAACACCTCATCATACTTCTAATATCTGAATAATATTAGTACAACATGATTTATAGAGTTACAATTCCAGAAATAAACAGGGTTTATCACAAGTTAGATACAAAGATCTGAGTAATTATTCAAATTTATCGACAGTAAGATTTAAACCCCAAACCTCTTGCATAATGATTTGGCAACCTAACTACTATACTAAGATTATCAGACCTTTTAGGTTAGATTTGTATAGGTTAATGAACAGAGTATTTAAATAGATAATTTATAAACAGATTATAGGCATAATAACATAATATAAAACTAATCAAGTGACCTAATATCTATGCAGCAGACTATTTAAAATAGACAATAACTAAAATTATACATGTAGCTTATTGTATACTTTTCATATAATTACAAACAGTAAAGATTATCAATGTATAATCCTGTTTGCAACTCTAATAAAATTCTTTCACAATGTAAACTATCTTTAACACAAAAAAAAAAAAAAAATATTTAACATTAAATATTATATCTGATCTATCAAACAGGTTAATTTTCAAAAAAATATCAAATTCTCTGGTTTCTACTTTTGAGAGCCCATTTCAATCCGGATTTATATATCCGGATATATTACTATATCATATAATAACATAGTAAAATCCGGATTTATAACTTATATCTGGATTTTATTATATTCGAATTTTTTATAACGTAGTAAAACCGGATTGAATTATTAACTCTAGTCGTTACTTTTAAAAATGATCTACAAGTACATATCAGATATAGTTTTTCTATTAAAAATTTTATTTTATGGATCTTATACGTAGCAAATCTCTTTTATATAATAAGTATGAATTTATACAGATGTGAATTTATACTAAAGATTTTTAATACTATAATAATCAAGTATTCTGTTAAACCATATACTGTACGTATAAAATATTTGATTTATTACTGATTAGTCTGAATTTAATAATATTAAAAATTTCACTAAAACGGGATTTAAATCCATTTCTAATTAATCATTATTTAAAGTACTCATTAAAAAAAAATAAAAATAAAAATATTATCCTTGTTTAACAATTTGCGATTATTTAATTTTTTTTTTTTTTTTTTTTTTAATGTTATCCGATTACATGATATTTTTGTAAACACCCCCTAAAATAAAGTTACTATATAACAGGTATTATAATATAAAGTCTTTTAAGAATAGCGATAGATGCTTTTACTGGTAAATTTTAAAATAATAATTTGTAATTTGCGTCGCTAATCTATTTTAGTTTACGTATTTATCTCATTCATCTCATTACTCCTGAGTAAATCACAGGGAAATCATTACACCAATATGCAAATATCTACAGTTTTTTTTAATATGTATATATCAAAATAGATAATTTCAAGCATGTACATAATGTGACCTCACACGACCTAATTTTGATGGTCAATTATCAGCGTTTATACATTTAGAATTTTTATTTTAATTATACAGTACTACTATTTGTTAGTTTAAGTAATAAATCGGAATCATAGTCTAACATAATGCCCGTTAACAATCCGGTAATGCGATCTGTAAACGATTAAGTAATCTGGAGATCAAATTTTCTGGCGGGTCCAATCTCTAGAGCCGGAACTCTTTGATATATTTCGTTTAAACCCGTTGATTAAATCTATAACGGTAGGATAAATTTGATCTTTCAATTTATATCCATCTGGTCTAATAGCACCAGTCTATACAATTAAAAGAAATTATAATGAGCCTAAAGTTAAGTAATCTGAAAAATATATATATTAAATATTTAACGAAATATACCCAGGTATCAATTTGAGTTCCTGGCTTTAATTTAAACATAAATGAAAACCAGCCAGGAGTATTAGTATCAAGACAGAATCCATATTCAGATTGTGTTGGTTTAATAGTTAAAGACATGTTGAGAAATTCCCCTATAATTATCAAATTGAGTTGATTTAATGAATTTATCAAATTATAAAATAATAATTATAAATAAAGGTTTAATTAATGAATTTATCAAATTATAAATAATAATTATAAATAAAGGCTTACTTAATGAATCCTCCGTAGGCTTGAATTTTGGGTGAGACACTAAATGTTCAACGTTACGAGCTTTGGTTTCTACATATTCGACAATAAGTTCATCCAAATCAGAAAAGATATATTTGCCATTTTCAACTTCAAGTTTACGTCCAATTGCGGCCCCAATCTTATCTTTTTCGATAACATCTAAAAAATACATCATAAATTTCAGTTATTGGTATATTAGAATAATAATAATGTTAATAAAGTTCCACCAACCAATATGTTGATAAATATTATCGTATAGCTTCCAAGTAATACTTATATAATCAAACCCTTTGGATGATGGTCGAATTACCCATGCACCGGTCTGCTTATCATGTAGATAATCTTGAGCTTCCGCATAAGTAAATGATTTGAACATAGGATGTGGTATCACACGTGTGTTAAGTTTGGGTGCAGTAATATTTCTTGGTTTTACTAAAAGTATAATTTAAATTATAATTCTTCTGTTTATTATATAATTAATTACACAATATATAAATAAACATTACCTTTTTTTGAAATTTTCGCCCTTGCTTCTGCATCATAATCATAATCGGAATCAACAGATCGTATTGATTGAAAATGTTGATTTCCATTAACATCCCTCGGACGGCAACTCAGAGTAACAGAGAATTTTATCTTGTCAATAGACAAAACTTTGGCATAAATTTGTTGATCTACGTAAAACCTCGA